CTCTCTCTCTCTCTTCAAGAGTTGTTTGTTTCCCATAAAAATTGATTACAAATAGGATTTTACTTTTTTATGTGATTTAATTGTTTTTATTTTATTGAAAATTTTCATTAATTACTTTTAGTGTATGTTTTAAAGGATATGTTTAGTATATTATATCAGAAGTTTTACTAATGAAGTCACTTATAGTGTATTTATAGTTAATCTAATAAGTGGTTGATTATAACGAGTTATAATGAAAGTTTAAAGCCTGTGATAAGCATTACAATTGATTTTTATTAATCAAAACTCTACTAACAATGCTTTACTATATTGTAATTTGAGTTAATTTTCTGCAAATCATTGATTTTTCACATTAATTTAGATTTTATTTGTTTGTAATTTAAATCACAATAAGTTTTAGTATAGTTTTAGTATTTTTTTGTTTTGTTTGTTGTTTTGATAAGAAAAAACTTTGCATTAATTTCATCCATGGTTTGAGTGATTTATTTATCGTGTCTTTCGCCGAGACTTTCAGTCATTTTTGCTGTCAGTTTTGATATCGATTTTGTGTTGATATGAAAAATAGTTTTTTTCTCTTGTTTTTCGTGTTATTTTTCGCTCACTTTTCTCGTCGAAAAACAATACAAAAAATAAACATTTTTTCAATTTTCTAAACCATTGGACCATTTATTGAGACGTATATCTCCCTTCTCTCTCTCTCTCTAATCGTCACTAAAAATATGTATTTCATATCAATTGTGTTATGAATTTAATGTGAATTTGTTTTATTTTCATTACGTTTTCATTAGGCGTTCAGTTTTTATTACACGTAAAAAATGTGTTGTTTTAATGACTTTTAAAACTAACATTTTTATGATTTAATTTATATTATAATTTGTTTTATATATTATTTATTAAATGATATTTAGTTTTATGGCTTTTATGTCAACTTATTATCATATGTTTGTCTAATTGTGTACTTATTAGAGACTGTTATCGGTATTTATGAAAGCGTTTTATATATAGTGTACACTAATTAAATAATATATAAATTAAATAGTTTTATAGACGGATGTGCTGTCTATGAGTACACTATACACAGTAGTGTAGAGACAATGAGCGAAATAATGTAAATATTTATTGTTCACTATATTTACAGTGACTGTTGACTAGAGATAGATCGCTGTTTAATCAAGTGTTTAATGAATGGACTTTTAATTGTCAAATAATTAATTAATTATTTGTTTTTACGATACAGTGAATGCATATCTAATGTTGAGAGCGAACTAAACCTAAACAAATCGGTGGACAGTTGGCAATCGTTGGGCTCCACAGCGACCACAGCGTCGCCGGTGCCGTCGGACGACTCGTCATACGTGCTGTCCGTTTCCCATAAGGACTCGCTTCGGCACCAGTTGTCACATATCCGACACATGAGGGATGAGTACGAGACACACCTCCGACTGCGGGACGCGTTGAGAAAAATGATGAAAATCTCGAAATCCAGAGAATGTGAAAACGAATGGAAAGAAAACTCAAGGATTTTGATCACATTTGAGAAACAGTTGGAACTAATGATCGGTTAGTATTGCCACCGATTAGCTCTCTCTCTCTCTCTCTCTCTCTCTC